CAAGTACCTTGAGGTATGTATAAAAAGCATTTAAAGCTGTGTCTATGTCCGAATCATCAAATCTCTCCAAATTGATTCTGAGGGTTCCGATTTGATTCAGACAGATTAAAGGGTCTCGATTCAATTCGGGGATTCGGCCACCGAATCGGGCTAAATCCAATCAGTGACTGAAGCTTCGCACACCCCTAATGGTCATTGATAAAGCCAGTTAAAAGGTTTTATCATAACATGCACAGTGAAGCTCTTCAAATGGTTTTCAAGAGAAGCAGTCCTAACAATCTAAAGTTTCTTTGAACTCACAGAATCATAGAAAATTAGGGTTGGAAGGGACCTCAGAAGGTCATTTAGTCCAACCCCTTGCTCAAAGCAGGATCATCCCCAACTAGATCATCGCAGCCAGGGCTTTGTCTAGCCAGGTCTTAAAAACCTCCAAAGATGGAGATTGCACCACATCTCTGGGTAACCTGTTCCAGTGTTTTACTACCCTCCTAGTCAGAAAATTCTTCCTAATACCTAACCTAGACTTTCCTTGCTGCAACTTGAGACGATCACTCCTTGTTCTGTCATCTGCCAACACTAAGAACAGTCTAGCTCCATCCTTTTTGGAACCACCCTTTAAGTAATGAATTAAAACTATTAAATCCTCTCTCAGTCTTCTTTCTGGACTAAAATAAGCCCATGTCTCTCAGCCTCTTCTCAGAAGTCATTTGACCCAGTCCACAATATTTTCATTGCTCTCTACTGGACACTAATTTGTCCAAATCCTTTCTGTAGTGGGGGGGGCCAGACCTAGATACAGTACTCCAGATGTGGCCTCAACAGTGCTGAATAGAGGGGAATAATCACTTCCCTTGATCTGCTGGCAACACTCCTACCAATGCAGCCCAGTATCCCATTAGCCTTCTTCACAACAAGGGCACACTGTTAGTTCATATTCAGCTTATTGTCCACTGTAACCCCCAGGTCCTTTTCTGCAGAGCTGCTGCCCAGCCAGTCAGCCCCCAGTCTGTACTGGTGCGTGGGACTGTTCCGTCTGAAGTGCAGGACTTTGCACTTGTCCTTGTTGAACCTCATGACATTGTTTGGTCCAATCCTCCGATTTTCTTGGTCACTGAATCCTAACCCTACCCTCCAGTCCCCACCCATCTTTGTGTCATCTGCAAACTTTGCTGAGGGAGCACTCCATCCAATCTTCCAGGTTGTTGATGAAGATATTAGACTAAACTGGCTCTGAACTGACCCCTCAGGCACTCTACTTGATACCAGCTACTATCAGTTAGACAAAACCATTGATTACTACTCTTTGAGCCCAACAATCCTGTCAGTTTTCTATCCACCTTAGACTCTGTTTGCTACCTTTTGGTTGTAAATGCTCTTGATAAATATGCTGTCAGGTAAACACTGTTGAGGAAATGTGCAGGATAGCAGAGGAGAGCTAATTCACTGAAGGAAGACAAATTCAGCAACAACTAGGCTAATGAGATAAAGTAGATAAAGGTGAACAAAACTAAACAAAGTCAATATATTACAGTGTAGTTCTTCCCCATTTAAACACATTCCTCTTCCCGTTATTAAAAAAAACAAATAAAACACACAACCAGTTGATTCTGTTGTCAGATTCAAAAGCTGACAACAGCTAGGAAAATAGACATCTCAGCCTTATGCAGTAAAATGGAAGTTGACAGGCAGAAGCATATTACATTTATAATGTAAAGTCGCTCTTGTGACAGGATGCCAGCTTCGCTCATCAATTACAATAGCTGCCACAGACTTTTTATTGCAACATTTAAAAAACTACAGCAGAGAAGACACCTAGGTTTATTTCCCAATTTTGACAACAGATTGCATTAAATCAGGGTTGTCCAATATCCCCACAGCTCTGGGTTGCACGCAGCACTAGCCACATGCTTCAGGGGGTTGAACCCCCCCAGGATTTCCAATATTGTGTAGGCAACAGACAGCTCTCCTCTGCATGGGCTGCAGAGGCTGCATGCAGACTCCCACCACGCAGGCTGCATGGCACACGGGCCTCTCAGACCTCCCCCCACCATGCAGCTGTGGGAGAGGCAGCTACAGGGGCCTGTGGGCCAAGTGCTGGCCCTTGCAGGCTACATGTGGCTCAAGGGCCTCCAGTTGGACAGCCTTGCATTAAGTAAAAAAACCACAGAAGCAAGCATACATCAAACTGACACTTTGCATATGAATGAAAGACTGGCTCCTATTAGTAAGGTCACTAGGCAAAGCCAAGGATCATTAATAACAATTCTTTTCTGATTGGTATACAGGGCCCTACTGGTAATCCTGAACTGTCATACATCTATGGACTTGAATGGAGCTGTAACATTTTACTAGCAGGGGATCTGTCTGCATCATAATAGAAACATGAAGACATATGACAAGCATAGCCTTCACTCAGGTCTCATATAGAATAGCAAGATTTAACAAATCCAAACAAAGATTTTCAAACAACAGAATTAGCTAATAATTCAAACCATGACTTCACAATGACAGCTAAACCCTATTGAGAGTCAGGTTTAATCTGTGATGAGGTGACACAATATGGATCATGAATTTTTCAAGTCCTGAGCATTAGGGCTGCACAAAGCTTCAGTAGCCGATTCAATTCAGAAGAGATATGGCCCGATTCAGCAGCCGAATCAAATCAGGAGACCCATTAGAAGGTCCAACTCGAATCATAAGCCTCTGAATCGATTCAGAAAAGATTTGGTGCCAATTCAGGGATTTGGCCAGGGACTAAACAGGCAGCAATCCTCAACCATGCTGGACACGACACAGCTGCCTCCAGCTGGTAAATCTGTTGTGGTAAG